AGAGAGCACTGGACCAGGACACTCACATCAACAGCCTCTCGCTCTTATGAGATCCGACACTGCCGTTACCCTGGAAACGCTACCGGAGGTGTGGATGGAAGGAGGAGAGAGCGATGGCGGTCGGGCCGACGCTCCGAGTGCGCGGCCCCTCGTGTGTACCGTTAAAATATTCAGTAGACGACTCTGAGAGCAGCCAGGCGTGTGTTTGTTTTCAGTGTATATATCTTTAATCACCGCGGACATGATCGAAATCAGATCCATTACTTACAGCACACAAAGCTATGAAAACAAACCTGGAATACATACATTACATATAACCATTCAAACAATATACATATTGTTTTGTGGCCAGGCTGACTGATAAATGCATGTGTATATGTATGTAGTAGGTAGTCTGCTTTGTACAGATTATGCCATTGGTCCTTCCCAGCACATACTATATGCATGCATTCTGTTTTCTTTTCAGAATATGTGAAAGAAATATGTAAAAATGACTGAAATATGATTAATTACATATAGCCTGTAAGGCTATGAAAATGAACCAGAAAAAAAATCATGAATACATACATATTTCTGCACTTATACATTTTTTGAACATTTCATAAAGGGATGCGTGAATGGAAAATGAAAAATCTAGCCATGGCTGCATGTATTGTGAACTAGAATGCTTATGAGGTGGTGTCAAGATGAAGAAGGCGGCTTTGCAGATGCCCTGCTGTCCCAAAGTTCAACAATTTAGCCTTAGCTAAGCGTTCATAATTTACTTGAAATAACAGAAATCGCAAGACCGTATATGCATATATTGCATATAGACTATTATCATAACAATAATCGTTAAAAATAAAAGTAAAAAGCTGCCCATATGATGACCACTATCATACAAGGCTCTTTGAAGTCATGACCGGAGTTGAGAACCCTGCCATAGAGCACTGTGAAGCCGCTCCAACATATAATACAGCATGGAACAACTTACTTGTACTTATACTGTACCACTATAAAATATGCTACATACTGCTATGCTGGAGTTAATGTATAACTGCTAACTTACCCCTTAACCCTGAAGATCAGCACGCAGACTGCTGGTCACCATAGCAATGCAGACAACAGTCTCACCTAGCTAGTAGCTATCGAAAAGCCAAAGAGAAAGATTCAAGAGGAACAAAGATAATTTGGAGACAAACTCAGTTTGTCGTTTTGTTTTTGTGACTTGTACTTCATATACACAAAGTCTGTGAGTGTAAACATGCATGCCTTCATGAGACTGAGCATTTTTACTTCTCCACACTGGGTGGGATGTGAGTTTTCATCTGTTTGAGGGAGAAAAAGTTTTCCCTCTGCTCCTCCTTCTGCTGTGCTGCAGCTGTGTTCGTTGTGACTGTTTTTAAGCTCTGCTCAGAGGAGGGACTGTTTCATTGATCGGACTGTAACAGTGTAGAGGGAGCTTGCGAAAACAGAGCTGCTCTGCGTCTTTACAAAATCATTGTTGAAACTGCAACTTATTTGACTAAATTGTGGAACGTTATTGTGCAAGTTTATCACGATTTACCCAAATCATAACTAATTAGCAGTTTTTATGTACAACTGGTTTGTACGCATGTAAAAAATGCAATAAAATATGTCAGAAAATAATATCCATAAATCATAAATCCTTTTTCTATAAAGTTGCTATGATGGAGTTGTGAGATTGCTCCAACAGAAATGATGTGTATAATGCACATATAGTATAGAAACCTCAAAAACAGATAATGCCTTAGTGTATGCACACATTTTGCGTCTTTAGTCACTAAAGACAGGACTAAAATGAGATTCATTATATATCATTAAGGCTACATACACATATACAAATAGATATCGCTGTTGTTGGAAGAAAACCTTGTATCTCCAAAATGGTAACTTTACAGGAAAAGGAAAAAACCTACTTTACTTTTAATTTACGTCAGTGGAACCTGAATTTTTTCTTTTGGTCCATTCACCATGAAATTTACACAGAATGTAAAAGTCAACAGGCCTTTTCAGATTATGTCAAAAAATTTTAAAAATGGAGATACAGTGTTTTCTTTGGACAGCAGCAACATATAAAGTTGCACACATACAGTATGGAAACCTCAGATGTAGTGATTATGCTTTAGTCTTTCCCAGCACTGTTGCTGTTGGAGGAAAACCTTAGATTTCGTTTTTCACATGATTTGAATGCACCAGCTGGCATTTACTTTTTTAAATTTTATGATAAATGGATGCATAGAAAAGATTCAAAATTGCTTAGCATAAAATTTTGTTACATTAAAAGTTAAGAATGTTTTTCCTTCTCCTTTACATTACCATTTTTGAATCCTGAGGTTTTGTTCTGGCAGCGAAAATATGTATCTTCAATCTCAAAGAACCATTAGGCTTATATTTGCATTACATTTACAAGATTGAAACATGGACCATTATGTATACCAGATATGGCTGGGAAAACAAACTAAAAATATCATAAATGCAAATGCATGTTATTGCTGTTGAAAGAAAACCTCAAATATTTGAAATTCTAACTTCATAAAAGAAGGAAAAACAAAAAACATGGGCAAAAAATATGATGGTAAAAAAGTAAAGAAAGGTAATCCTTTATTAGTCCCACAATGGGGAAATTCACAATGCTACATACAGCAAGGGATAGCAAGGCACTCAAGAAAAGAGGTACAGAGAAGAGAATTAACAAAATAATTACAGTTTGTTACTTATTACTGTAGTTTTATGACCATAACAGATATATTTCTATGTGTACAGTATGATATCCTCAGATGTAGTGACCACACCTTCATCTTTCCCAGCAGTCAGTATGTGTGTATTCTGTTTTAGTGTATTTCATCATCAGATCTGACAGTGCTGGAAGCTTTTAGGACCTTCTGCTTTCTTCCCCAGATGATTTTAACCCTCGGCACTTGTGCCCTTCGCCAGTAAAGACCCCACTGCTGCAGAACTCATGTGTGTTTTCCCCTCTGTGAGTGTGTGTTGGTGTGTGAGTGGAGCTGTGTGCTTATTTGTTTATCTGAGTATGTAACTGTGTTGTGTGAATGTAGAGATTTAGACAGGAACAGCATGTCTTCAGGATCTGAGCAAGATTTACAGGGTCATAGAAGCTCTCTCTCTCTCTCTCCCTCTCTCTCTCTCTCTCTCTCTCTCTCTCTCTTCTCTCTCTCTCTCTCTCTCTCTCTCTCTCTCTCTCTCTCTCTCTGACTCATTAAAGATGAAAACGTCAGTGACTCTGTTCATCACTCTGTGCTCGAGCCCAAAACAGGAGGGCCTCGTTTGTACCAGTCCTCACACTCTGACACCTTCATTAACACTTCACCCCTCTCTCTCTCTCCTTTGCTTCCTCACTATCTCTCTCTCTCTCTCTCTCTCACTCCTTTTCCTTTGCTTCTTCTTTTTTCCTCCTTTGCTTCCTCGCTTTTTCTCTCTTCTTTGTTTTCTCTCTCTCTCCCTTTTGCTTCTGCTCGCTCTCTCTCTCTCCTCTCTCTCTCTCTCTCTCTCTCTCTCTCTCTCTCTGTCCTTCTCCTTTGCTCACTCTCTCCTTTGTTTCCTCTTCTCTTTCTCTCTCCTTAATTCCCTCAGTTCTTTTTTCACTCACTCCACATCCCTTTACTTCTCTCTCTCTCTCTCACTCTCTCTCTCTCTCACTCTCTCGCTCTCTCTCTCTCATTGCTCTGGTGTTGTTGCTGTGTTCTGAAGGCTGCTGACACACTCTGCCATGCTGTCAGTGGTGTGGTGTTGTGTGTGTGTGTGTGTGTGTGCGCGTGTGTGTGCGTGTGTGTGTGTTTGGTGTGCTGACATTTCTGCACCATCACTTACTACACACACTGCATAATTCATCAACTCCGAACCGCCTCCTCCTCCTCCTCTTCCTCTTCGTCCTCCTCCCCACACAGCACAGCCCTTCATACTCTTTAATTAGAAGCACAATTAATCCTCTTCCTCGACCATTCGCATCAATCTCAATCCATCTCCCCTTTTCCTCTCTCATCATCTTTTACTGCCCCTCTATTTCTCTCTCTCTCTCCCTCTCTCTCTCTCCCTCTCCCTCTGTGTCTTTCCTTCTCTTTCAATGAAAGTGATATAAGTGATATTAGTGTAAGTTGATATTTTTATTTGCAGTTTTTGCCGTTTTTAAGCTCGGTTTTGGGAAACACTATGGTTCAAAGATTTGGAATCACTGTTTTCAGTAATATAAAACCAGTTTAGCTGCAGAGACACATAAAATGATTCTAATATGATACTTATGTTCTATAAGGTTCACACAGTTTGTTCAAACTGTAGGGCAGGCATGGTGGGTAGTGCTGTTGCCTCACAGCAAGAAGGGCCTGGGTTCGATTCCCCGGCCTGGTGACCAGGATCCTTGCGGTGTGGAGTTTGCATGTTCTCCCCGTGTCTGCGTGGGTTTCCTCCCACAGTCTAAAGATATGCAGTCAGGTCAACTGGAGATATTAAATTGCCCCTAGGTGTGAATGGGTGTGATTGTATATGTCTTTATGTCTGCCCTGTGATGGACTGGCGACCTGTGCTCGCCCAGTGATCGCTGTGATAGGCTCCAGGACCCCCCCGTGACCCCGAAGGATAAGCGGCTTAGAAAATGTGTGTTCAAACTGAAAAATTAGAAATGTTCAATGTGCAGAGCTGCAAAAAGCTGCAAACAATTTACTCTGATCAACTAACTATTCAAAGTAATTTTGTGACAAGAAATTACAGTGTTAATAACATTTATTACAGTGTTAATAACATTTGCTAATTTTTTAGCATGTCTTAGCTTCTCATAGCTCCAAATTACTTTACATTCGTTCCTGTTTGGGGGTTTATAACATTTCAGTCTACACTGTCTGAGAAAAGTGACTCCAAACTTTTGAACAGGAGTGTCATTGTGTATATTTTACTGTTGTTTGTCCCAGGTAGTTTTAAATGTGCTCTCTCTCTCTCTCTCTCTCTCACTCTCTCTCTCTCTCTCTCTCTCTCTCTGTGTCTTTCAGTGAGTGTGATAGTTAAGGAAAGGAAGAGTCGGGACAGCATCACGTTGGCCTGGCAGGCCCCAGAGCCTTCCGACGGGACGGTGGTGGAGTACGAAGTCACCTACTACGAAAAGGTTAGTCCCTTTGGTGTCACGCCGAACCAGACTAACTGGCTAATCTCTAGGCTGACCTTTCTGGCCCTGTCTGAGCCCGTTCTGATTGGACATATGGTAACTGCTGAGGCACAGCTTTTTTATCACACCCTGGGGAGCCACTTGGATGTCAGCACACAGATAGATTCTTTTCCGTCCCAATTACCATTCCTGGATGACTGGGCGACCCTAAACACATCTCCTCATCCCTATGGTGACACAGCTGTCCTGGATGATTTGCAGACGTTGAGATGAAGGACGTTTGAGATGCTTGAGCCTCAGACACACGCTCCATTCATCAAGCCTGTCCAGTCCACACAGGGGACTTAAAGCAGTAGTTTGGTGGAAAAATCACATTTACAGAATTACATATTGTTAGATGTCTTGAAGTTGGCTTCTTTAGTTTTGCACTGGAGCTATGAGGCTATTTTAACTAAGAAATAAGAGGCATACACACTAGCCACGCTTACATGCAGCCTAATAATTCGTTGATAATCTGACTAATAGCTTGATCGTAAAAGAATACGTCCATGTATACACCTCAGTCGGAATAGACTAATCTGATTGAGGCCATTTGGAATACAATTACTATCCGATTGATCGAGGTGGGTAATCCTGTAAATAATCTGTTAAATAGGAGAATAATATCTGTGTAAATGCTTGTATCTGATTACATTCCCTATCTGAGAGTTTAAGTCCGTTCTGATCATGTGCGTCACGTCATAGTGAAAGTTTATAACGTTCAACATGGCGGAGCAGAAACTGGTCTGCAGAGGAGACGAAGTTTATGGTCTGATCTTTAAAAGACGGCGATGGGACGGACGTCCAGTTTATGTGTCTCAGAACACGACGTCTTCCTCTCGGCCTTCTTTAATAAGGACATGTGAAGGACGTTTTCCTGACTCTGACATCATTTTAAAGCAATTAGAAACACAAGCACTGCTCACTGCTGCTCATCTCACTCTGACTGGACTCTCGTGATGCTCGTTGTCATGGTCACATCTACACTAAGTGGTGCTCTGCGCATAACTCCATGCTTAAAACTTCCATGAAGCCATGTTGAGTTATTAAGTAATCTCAGATAGAATGGCTTTGGGAGTTTCTTACACTGTATTTTTCTGTCCTGGGTGACATCACTGTTTGATGTGACAAAAGCTAATGTTTTAAATTCGTAACATCACTAACATTTAACATTTAAAGCTGTCAAAACAAACAGGACTGATCAATAGAGTCGACATGCATGAACCTACATCTGGTTGATCTACCAGACAGCAGGTAATGTAGTTAATTTTAATATTATTTATGGGTACATACAGCTTTTGTCTCCCATATTTTGTTTTGCTTGGCCATACAGCATCAAAACAGCAGGCATCAGTAGCCTGCTTTTAATGTTGTTTAAGCTTTTGTTTTATGAATGTATTGCATAGACTTGAGATTGTGTGCAATAAACTATCATCATTTTGCACCCTGTAGCCACCGCTGATTGACTGGTGGTGGGGGGGCATGGTATCAGGCTTTAAGACCAGGGGTGACCAATCTCATCCACAAAGGGCTGGTGTTGCTATTTATTCCAATCAGCAGGAACATACCTTATATAAGTTATATTCATAAGGTTTATATAAGGGGTGTGTGTGTGTATGTATGTATATATATATATATATATGTGTATATATATATATATATATATATATATACACACACCATATGATTAAACAAGTAGTATCAGTTGTGCTTCTGCTTGATTTGAATGCAGACCTGAAGCCACACTGAGTCTGATGATGTACACTGATATAAGCATGGACTACACATTAAAAGAAAACATGCATAAATAAAACAGCATAAATAACAAGTTTATAAGACAAATATGATACTTCTGTGCCTCCTAAAAGTGAGCACAGTGCATTTTCTGATATTTAAATTGCTTGATTGGCAGTTGTGACGGATGGACTCTGTCAGCAATTCGTGAAGCCGTCGTCAATCAGCTCAAGCCTGGTGTCGCAGTTTTTCAGAACTGAGATTTTCTGTCTTTTAATTGTCCAGTGTAGCTCTCCTATTTAGGGGTTGCAAGGCGGTCATTAATATAGCTGCCGGAAGGAAAATATCACGTAACTGAAACGGACGAATACTGATATCTGAATATTGTGTCAGAAACCACGTAAGCAGGTCTGCTTGAGATTACTCAACAGTTCGACATGGTTTGAGGCAAGTGTGATGATTTAGGCAAGCAGTTTGCACAATGCTAACCTGAGGCTGTAAGCTTCCATTAATTGTTAGCTACATTAGCATAACAGCTCCAGTGCAAAAATAAAGAAGCAAACATCAGACAACAGACGTGTCTCGGCTGTTTGGCTCTGGGGAAAACCGTGTATTTGATTTTCCCCGAACTGTCACTTTAAGAAGGTGCTGAGAAGCACAGCCAACAACCTGTACCTCACTTGGCTCTCCTGCAGGAGAGAGCAGGGAGACGTGCGATGATTATTATGATTTATGCAGGTGATTATGGGCTATATGGCTTTGAGATGAAGATCACAGATGGGCAGGCTTGGCAGCTGCCGGTGAGCGCGCTCCGTTTGATGTCGGCCATTTGGCCCACCCTGGCTTCGGACGAGGCTCGGTAAACTCGGCCATTTTTCACTCTTAGAGTATAAGGACCTCGAACCGAGAGAGCGGCCCGCCTGAATGAGACGCCACATGCCGCTGGGTGAAGTCAACATGAAGGAAGATGAATGGATATCAATAAGCTGTGAAATATTAATGCGGACACTGGGGTGGTTAATTCTCTTCAGGACAAGACAATAGGATGATGAAGCGGCTGTCTGACGCCTTCCCAGGGATCAATGCTGCCTGATCATTTGTTTCAATGAGCGCTAGTCGCTATCCTGCGGGAAACCACCAGGTCCTCACAAAATGCACCGATTTGCGTTTTTTCCTCTCCTGGATTAGTGGGGGAAAAGCACTGTTAGCAGTCTGCGCTTGACATGAAAGAGTGCTAAATTAGGCACTAATTGTTAATTGACAATCGACTGATTTTAATCCAATCTGCACACTTTGTTCCTCTTTAAACATCTGTGCAATACATTGATGACACAAGAATCAGCAAGTGCAGACAGTGCAGTCACAAATAGTAGCAGGACTCATTACAGAATGACAGGATTTCCACTAAGGCCCAATCCCATTTCTTCTTTTTACCCCTACCCCTTGTTTTTGAGTGTCACCCTAACCCCTTGGAACTGAGTTACAAGGGGTAGTGGTTGAAAAAAAAAAAAAGAACATTACTTCATTAGCAGCTACCAGCGCTGCTCTGTAGGCGACCCTGCCAGTCTGCAGTGACAGCAGAGGAGGGTAAAGTTCAGCTCCTCACTGCTGGGCTTTAGTTACATTTAGGGCATCATATGCCTTCAAAGAGGGGGGCAATTATTTATTATCACCCACCCCTAATTCTTCAGTGATGTGAAGCTGAAGTCAGATATTCTCCAGCTTCTTGTTTAAATGTTCCCGTTCCACCTTCAAGGGTGCAGCTGTTACATTCTGGTGCTTCAGGCATCAGAACTGCTGGACTGTTTAAGGTGGAACGGGCAGGTTAGCTAGCTAGCTACCAAAACCTTAGAATTGTTATAAAGAAAACAACCATAATACATTGAAACGACACTAAACTAAGATAATACAGTGGTTATAGTAATTTTTAACAGAGAAAATTCTCACATTTGTGGGTTTCTTTGGTCGCTCGCACAGCCATCTTGCTGGTTTTTCTTTTTTTTCTCATAACACTGTTTGGAGTCTCTGAAAACCCTCCGTTTGGAGGGCCATGTAGCCCTGACATTTCGCCCCACCCCTCTATCTCAGCAAAAATTGGGACAGCCTACCCCTAGACGTGAACACGCAAAACAGAGGGCTAAGGGCTAAGTGGTAGGGGAAAAGGGCGAAATGGGATTCGGCCTAAGTAACCGCTTTTTGGAGACTTTTTTGGAGAGCTTAAAGTAAAGAAGCAGCTGCTAATACAGCTGTGTTCAGCCATCATCCAAACCATTCTGACATCGTCTGTCATTGTCTTGTATGGAAATACACTGTTGCACTAAATAGAAGCATCAGTTTATTGTAAGGAAGGCCTCAAAACAATTGGATTGGGGACATAAATGAATAACTTATTAACTGTTTACTGACAAATAAAGAAACATAGCAGTTCCTCTTTGAATAGGTGGGTTAATCATTCAAGATGAAAAACATTTTTGAACTGTAATCATTAAATGTCACAGCCTAAAATCAGTTGTTGTGCTGCCACTTTAATCAACAGTCAAGACTTCTCTCTCGCAGGCACTGAATATAAATCAAGAGTGTCAGTCGGAAAAATAAGTCATATAAATTTCCTGCCGTCTCCGTCTCTTCACCAGACGCTAAACTGACTTACAAAGAAGACGTACTGTATCTGTATTAGGAGAGCTGCTCTTGTGTCAAAACATCGTTACAGTGTATTTATTTATACATGGCAGCTCCAATATGTGGTGACAATTTCTTGCAAAAGAAAAAAAAAAACAAAACAACAACGACAACAAAAAAAATCATTTATCTGTCAAAGTGGCAGCTGGAGAAAACTGCTCATTTCAGACCCAGCTGTGGCGTTTGCACATACTGAACTGCATCAGTCTGCTAGATTTACACTCCTCATCTCAGATAGTAGGAGTTAGAAGTAGTTAGTCTTGGATAGTAGCAGCCATTATTACCTTACACACCTTTTAGATCATTATTTATACATTATGTGGTGTTTATGTCTCCCTTGTCTTACATGTCACCCTTACTGTTTGATAACTCGATGGCTCTCGAGGAGCTATAGTGAATTCAAATACCTCCAGCATTGCTGTGAGCAAGTAAGACATCTTGAACCTGATACAGTAAAGGAAAGTGGTTATTCATGGTTTTGCATTTTTAATATAAAGCATAACACGTCATAATATAAAGTGGTTAGGCATGGTTAAGTATGACCTGTAATGAAGTGTGTGTGTATATATATGTGCTTATGTCCTAATACTCAGAGTGCATACATGGTTTTATACAGTACTGAGCAAAAACCAGAGGCAACCCTTCATTTAATACAGTCAAAATAAGTACAAGTACAGTCAAAATAAGTACAGCTCAACACAGAATCTGAAAGGAAAAAAGAAGAACATCTGGAAAATGAACAAAGGAGCTGCTGGTGTTCGCAGAACAATGGACTGACCACCCCAGAGTCCAGATCTCAACATCATTGAATGCGTTTGGGATTTCTTGGATCGTGAGAAGCAGAAAATTCAACTAACTTCTAACACTGAATGCTGGAGGGGTGGCAAGATATCCCTGTAGGTTTCTTTGAAAATCTGAAAAAAATAGATTTTCTATTTAGTTTGTTGGGGCTTTTGTGTAATTTTTTGTTTAAGATATGTTTTTCTGCTTTTTTCCTGATGCTGAAAAATGAATAACTTGTACTTTATGGCTGCTTTGACTGGAAATGAAGTAATAGAAGAGTCATTGCTGACTTGCACAGTACTATATGTCTTAGGCTAAAGTGGGTTTATGTGGTTATGTGCTTATACGTGGTTTTATGTGTTTTTATATGTCCTAATGACCAGTGGTAGTGTGTGTGTGTGTGTGTGTGTGTGTGTGTATGTATATACATAACCACTAGTCATTAGGACGTATAAAAAACACATAAGCACTAAATTCTAAATATTAGGACGTACATAACCACATAAACCCACTTTAGCCTAAGCCAATATAATATAAACTTATATAGATCCTTATATAAAATATCTTTGTCTCCTTTAGAACCAGAGGGATCAAAACTACACAGTGCTAAAGACCAAGTCCAACAGTATGACAGTTGAAGGGCTGAAGCCGGGCACTACCTACGTGTTCCGGGTCAGAGCTCGCACTGACGGGGGCTACGGCAACTACGGAGGAGAGATCGAGCTGGAGACAAGCCATGAAGGTGAGACCAAAGTCATATCCACACATATACACACGCACACGCACGCACACACACACACACACACACACACACACACACACACACACACACACACACAATGCTTCCTTTTTATTCCTTACACGTACAACATCAGCCAAAAGTTTAGACACACCTGAATGAATGTAGATTAAACACGATTTAATTGAATGGCTAATGCTTCAAAAACACAAACATAAGTCTGTTTATCGATCTGTCTATCTATCTATCTATCTATCTATCTATCTATATGTCTATGTATCTGTCTATCTATCTAGCTCTCTATCTGTCTATCGAACTATCTGTGTCTGTCTAATGTATCCATCTATCTATCCATCTATCGAACTATCTGTCGAACTATCTGTGTCTATCTATCTATCTATCTGTCTATCCATCTATCTGTCTATGTATCTATCTATCTATCGAACTCGATCTGTGTGTCTGTCTATCTGTCTAGCTATTTATCTGTCTATTGAATTGTCTATCTATATGTCTGTCGAACTATCTGTCTGTCCAGCTATCTGTTTGTCTGTTGAACTGTCTATCTATCTATCTGTCTGTCTATCTATCTATCTGTCTGTCTATCTGTCTGTCTGTCTGTCTATTTTAGCACAGAAACCCACCAATCAAATATTGTTTTGAAATACTGGTCACCTCTAAACATCTGTACAATACAGTATTTTCAACAACTATATAGCAAAACTGATATGATTCCAATATCACTGTACATCCCTAAGGAAAACCTTAGATATGTCCAAACTTTTGACTGCTGCTGTTCAGTGCTGTACTGCTCCTTTCAGTTCCCTGCATCTTTTCACTCTAGCTCCTACTCGCTCTCATTTCAGCAGGTGTCTCAGGCGTCCTTTGTTGTCTCTATGCTCCCTCTCTCCACTTTCTCAGTCTGTGAAGTGTCCAGTGCTGCTGTGTCCCCAAAACTCTTCCTTTCTGTTGTACTTCAGAGAACCTACTGGGTCAAAGACACCATCAAACCCCCAAAGAGGGCTAACGAAAACTGACTGACTGCAGCTTTAAAAGATCATCAGCACCCCTGACTGCTCATTTCTGTGTTAGTTAAGGAGAGGGGTGTGCAGTGCACTTTCCACTCCTGGGCCAAGGGCTGCCATGTGTTTTTAATTTTGTCTGTCTGCCTTTGTGAAAATGACACAGTGCTTGAGACAGCTGATTTTAATCTCTTGTTGTTGTGAAATAATTATGCATACATGCTTTATCTGACAAATGAGTCCCTGGAGGCTCTGTGCACAAACACACACTGCAGCTCGTTCTTCTCCTACAGTGTTGTGGGAAGAAAACAGAATTTTTAATACTGTAATCACAAATACGTTACATATTATATTCAAGGTCCACCTATAAATGGTAACAAATGTCACTACTGTGTCACCATCTTCATAAATATAGCAAGGCGCACAATAATAAAGAAATTGCTATGAAATATATGACTCCATAAAGAGTGTCATGAGAGAATTCGATGCTACTTACAGTTTAACACTGTTCAGTAAAATATGACCCACATTTTTTTTTTTAGCATTTCTCTCCACTGCCTCTGTAGATTTGTCTAGATTTGGATCATGTTTTCCCTCATAAATCCTGATGAATTCCATTCAGTCAACCCATTGTGGGGGTTTTGCACCTTGTGAGGTGCCGCAGAGCTGTCAAATGGCATCCTTCAGGATTTCTCTACGTGTGGCCTCATGGGGCACAGCATGCTGATTGAACTGGAGAACTCTTGACATTTCTGTTTTGTTATGCCGTCTGGTTGTTTGCATACAGTATGTAATCTGTGGATTGTCATGGTTAAAGTGCTAGTACTGCAAGGAGATTATGTTAATGAAGCATGCAAGCAGTTTATCGGCGTTCCATCAGAACTTCGTACACGGATATTTTAAAGCTTAATAAAAACAGATCTATGCAAAATGTGAAAGGTGGCTTTATTTAGGACAGTCCAACATATAGCCAGGCAACAATAGTCCAGGCAAGTCCACATTCACTATACATTATATATCGCTGTTGTTGTCGGCAGAAAATGTCTCCATGTGGGTTAATTTCATGATGAATGGACCAAAAGAAACAGCCCAAAATTACTTGGAGAAAACTCTGGTTCCGTTGACTTACATTAAAAGTAAAGTAGGTTTTTTCCTTCTCCTGTAAAGTTATCATTTTGGAGATACAGTATGTCTTATAGTTAAATACAGTAGAAGCACCCATCTTTTTTTTATTTGAGGATTTAACCCAGTTTTCTCCCCAATTTAACTAGGTCGCCCCCTATCACACAATGCTATGAAGCTGGGACGGAAAAGGCTACCACATTCCTCCATTTCACATAAAGCACCACCATGTCTTTTCAAACTGCTGCCAATATAGCCTTACTTGACAGCTCGAAAGAACCCATCTTGAAGCCCCATTTTTTTTCTGAACACTTTATAATAAAATGTAAAAAAACTTCCAATATTTTACTCAGTAAATAAACAGTAATTGTGCATTAAATTCTACAGAAGTGTGCTCTCTGTAGAGGAAGTGTTAGGGTTATTAAGCTTATTTTTGATTTAAAAAAATCAATGTCAGTTGACCAAGGCGCCCAAACTTTTGCACACGACTGTATTTAGTGTCGGAAACCATATAATTTTTAATTAACAACTCGACATAAGTGAAAGATGATTTAAGGATGCAGTTTGCACATAGCTAATCACTGGGCTGAGTTTTCATTACTTGTTAGATACATTAGCTTCGTAGCTCCAGGGCGAAACTGAGGAAGCAAACCTCATGTATTGGCTGAATGACTACATTTGGGGAGAGGGGTCACTGTGTAACTGATTATTTGATAAACTGTCACTTTAAGATGAACATATATTAAAATAATAGCTGCTAATTCACACAGTGAACATAGTGAACATGACAAAAGGGTAGAGTTTCTGATCAATATGATCACTAACAGTCCTGAAAGTGAAAATATATGAGTTGCGTTTATAGTAGTTATAACTGCTGTGGACGTTGAGTCTGAACGTGTGTGTTTGGCTTGCTTTTCTTCACAGACATGTTGGCAGTGGGTGACCCGAACCAGCAGACCATCCTGGCTGTGTCCATAGCAGGAGGAGTGGTCCTGCTCATCCTCCTGGTGGCTTGTTTTGTGGTCAGTGGCAGGTAAGAGCTCTAAAATTACACTGTGAAAAATAGTAGCTACTCTAGTTTTCTGCAGCTTCTTCCTACAGTGCTTAAGGAGTTTAAGGGGAGGATGGAGTTGAATATGGATTTAACTCCGACTGCAAGAGTCTGTATGTGGGTCCACATTTCTCTCTTCACTCTCATAACTATATCATTTACATATTTGTAGTTACTGAGTAATTCATATGAAGCACTAGGTAATAAGAACTGAGATTAATAACTAAGGGTGCCTACACACTAGACAATGCAAAGATGGTGCAGTAGACTCATACGCATGCAGATCTTGTCGTTCTAGAAGACGTGTACATGGCTGGAACGGGGCGGAGTTTGTCCTGTTTGAAATCCAGCGGGGAAAAGATTTGGACCAGAAACAAAGAAATATTGATAGAAAATTGGGACGATGGCTACATACAGAGCCAAGCACAACAGCCATGAAAGCAAAGAAGTCATATAGAACAGGAAAAGACTAAACAGCGTAGTTACTCTCATCCATCTTGGATTTTCATTTGTTTTCTTCCCGCATTTTTCTGTTGGTTGACATGCCTTCATGTCGGAATCCGGTGCAGCAAAAGTTGAAATGGTTTGAACTTTTCGACGCTCGACACTGCATACAGGCACGTTTCTAGTCCAATAGAGCTGACGCAGCGTCCTCACTGAAATACACTGGGGGTCTGCATTTCTGACGGTGTGTCAGCTTCTAGTGTGTAGGCACCCTAAATAATAAGCCTATGGTTTAAGGGGTTCACATGTTTGTTCAAATAATTTCATTTGTCTAAACCAGGGGTGTCAAACTCAACCAGTAAAAGGGCCCTGTTACAAAATCTCATCTGTGGGCCAGATGAGAAAATGTTTTTATTTTCATTTTTAATTAATGTTGTGCTGTAACCCAAACTGGCCATTGTTCATTCAAAATGTGCCAAAACTTCAACAGTAACATACAGACACTTGTAGTAGACCTTGAAATATTACATGGACACTTGAAATATTCAAAATTTAAATGTCCCCAGGAGCTCAGTCTTTAAACTCACCTATCTGCTTGAATTAGACACCTGACATCATTTCTTTGTTGTAAGTTCATCAAGACTTGGGCTCAGTTTCTGACCTGCTGAGCTGATGTTAAGTGTTTATATTGGTGATATGACTGGTGTGGAATTGCACAGAACTGAGGTGTAACCGCTGTCCCATAAACTTAGAGTCAGAGCACATTACGTTGCAGTGCATGCTGGGGACTGTAGTGCAGTGCATTGTGAAACAGGCTAATATTAATAGAAAATTTAAAATACTTTAATGGCTGGATAGGATTGTGTGGCGGGCCCTGGTTTGGCCTGTGGGCCTTGTGTTTGACACATGGGGTCTAAACAAAGTAGTGGAGATTAATCAAGTTGGAGTTTGTGCAAATGAGAGTAAAGCCTCACAAACACAAACTGCACTATACCATTAAGAGTCCTTGGGCAAGACTCCTAACACTGATACCTTCGGCTACATGTTAAATGACCACATTGTAAGTTGTACTGGATAAGAGCGTCTGCCAGCGCCGTAAATGTAACTGAAGAAGCTGTGTTTTGTGTGATTTGTGAGTTTATTTGTGTATCTGTTTGCACCCAGATGTACTTTTTTAGTTTTTGCTGCGGTACTGCCTCGTATAGCAAAAGAAAAAAAAAACAACACGCAAATACTTGCCCCCTCTCTCTCTTTGTGTCTTTGTGTTTATGGAAGACATGAAAAGACACTCCAAAAAATTGGAAAGGCCCACGATTGCAGATAGTAACCCGTGGAGATGAAAGCAAACACTCGAGAAGCCAATTGAAAGAGCAAGAGAGAGAGAGAGTGAAAGGATAGAGCGAGGCGAGTGCCGTGTTGCTACGGGGCCGGCAATGATGTAGGCCATTAAATGGAAATGAATGAAGATGGTCAGGGAGAGGAGAAACAGAGAGAGGCATGAAGAATGAGCACTGTTTAAATAATGTGTCGGAGGATCAGCTTTTTGATGTGTTTTTTTTCGACTGATCAAAGAGCAGAACATTTTACTTTGCTCTTATTCTGGCCCTGTCTCTGCTGAATCATGTGCCCTTGTTGTCAGGATGGCCATTTGAAACAGATTGGTGTTCAAATATATCTGCGTTTTTAATCAAACAGTGTTTGAATAACCAATGAGGAATCAGTTGATATTGTTATAAAAAATACAGTACTGTCAAAAGTTTGCAATCTCTTGTTATATTATTCATTTGTGTGGTGACAACAAGATATTGTTTCAAATCGGACCACAGTGTAGTGAACTGTGTCGTATCATGACTAGCATGTTAGCTTTGGGTGACATATTAGCTTGTGGCTAGAGCATTAGACTGGAAACTAATTCTGTTGTTTCAATAATGTTGAATGGTCTAATAGACTGAATGGTAACATAAACTTATCAGTGTTTATGTTTGTAGCCACTCTTTTTTTTGTTCTGTATCGAAAAACATCAAATCGGGACACCATCGTATCACATCCAGTCTAATTTTGAATCCAGCTTCTTAATTTGTTATTTTATGTACATTAATAAATTAATATAGACATTCATCTTTTAATCTGGGCACGAAAAACATGCACATTTTAAATGGTTTATTCAATATTTCAAAGATTTCGAGTTATACACTGTAATTGTCTATTTATATGTTTTGTCAAGTTACATCAAGATTTGATCTACTGTTTACATATAAAGCTTTCTGGATATTTCTTTTAAATATGGTGGGCAATATGGCAAAATATAACCACGATACTTGAGGACATCTCCACAGTAGACGATATACACTATATCATGACTGAAGTGCCCTTGAGCAAGGCACCTAATCGCCAACTGCTCCCCAGGCGCCGTGGATAGGGCTGCTCACCGCTCTGGGCAAGTGTGCTCACTGCCCCCTAGTGTGTGCGTACACTAGTGTGTATGTGGTGTTTCACTGCACAGATGGGTTAAATGCAGAGGTGAATTTCCCCGTTGTGGGACTAATAAAGGATAACTTACTTACTTACATTTTCATTAATATTAAACCAATTTGTTGAACATACATGTGCAAAACTGCTTTTGGTTGATGCAACTCATTCCTGCAACTAATTTGCAGGAAACTATAAAATTAAGAAATGTTAATGTGTTCAGAATGATGAACAGAGCTGGAGATGATTCCATAATAATTGAGAACAACTGGATGACACTGAGAAAGAAGTTAAAATAAAATTATTATCCAGAATGCCTTGTATTTGAAAAGTGGTTATCAAATTTGGAGGCTGATAACATATCAAGCAATCACTACAAATAGGTAATTAAAGTGTATTATTTATCATTTAAAAACTGAAATTGAAATAGTAGATAAAACATTAAAAAGCCTATACAGTGTATATGGAAATACTGTTATTGTTAAACACAATAACAACAATTATTAATATGACAAGTGAATCAGACTTTTGAACAGTACACTATATGACAATATTTGGATTTTCTGAGGTTTGTGAACATGTTGTAAAGACCAAAGGTTGTTCTGTGTTCTACTGACAGTACCCATGATACACCATATGGTCATATTGCCTAACTATAAAAATGATAATGCATAATCCATTTGATTTGTTTACTCTAAACTACAAGCCTTTTTGAACGTCTAATTGAGTAAACAGGTACTAAGATGAGTCTGAATAACCAAGCTCATCTCTTCTTAACGGAGGTCTTTTACTGGCTTTGGGTTTATTCCATGACGCTGACTGGTTTGTAAACTGTACTACATGAACTTCACCTTTTGTGTCCAAACGTGTGCAAGGCTGAGGATTTTACCTGCTGAAACAGAAGCGCTTTGCCTGTATGTGTGTGTAAAAATGCATGTGGAAAGACCCTCATGGTAGCAATAAACAAAGGCTTTGATTCTCATCCATTTGGAGCAGCAGGTTGGCAGTTGCAGCTGTGACACTAATGCGGTGTGACAGGCTCTAGAGGAACGTGCAGGCTGGTGTTTTGTAATGGAAGGCAGAACCAAACACTTTAATTGCATGCAGTACCTTGGCACTGGACTATATGGTGCCATCTAACCTTAAATGGGAGTCTAATACAGAGTATCTGTAGCTCCTTTCGGAAAGCTCGTTCCAAACTCTTCGGGGGAAAGAGTGGCCCCTGCTTACAGAGTTCTAGGACTGGCACTTTTAGGTCATTAATTCCAGATTTCTTGTTTCTGGTTACAGGAAAAGGTAGATTATAGTGGGCAACTTGTAAACAGGAGATTATGTTTTAAAATGTTTGCACTCTAGCAGAGCAGATGGGATCTTTTGAGATGTTTAACTGTAGCAGGGTTGATGTTTATTTGAACCCCAGAATAACTTACATTCTAAAGATATCTCGGTTTCAGATCTCCAGGTTGGGGCCTCATAGAACTACTTCTAAAGCGATGGTCTGGCAAAAATGAACTTTTGCATATTTATCCCCAAATGTAACCAGTTAGCAAGCACTACAAGGCTAATGTGTCTAACAGGTAATAGGAGCTTTTAACCAGCAATTAACATCATGCAAACTACAAGCCTAAACAAACCATCACACATTTGGATCCGGTGTGTTAGATTAGGGTTGGAGCTGAAATTTAAAGCATTTCACTGTCCATCTTGTTGCCGAAGAAGCCATCAGATGTGTCCATTTTCTGATATCATACATATCATCATTTAAGATTACAAGAGAGGGCAAAAAGGGTCTTTACTTTCAGTGTAAATTAATGTAAAGAGATTTTATTCCGAGCAATTTTTGAGCATTTCTAACAGTCTATTCATCATTAAAGTTTCACACAATGTAAGGGGCAGCTGCTGTAGAAAAATAAAAATTGAAAAAAATGGAGATACATGACGCTTTGGACAGCAACGATATACAAAGAAAGAAATCGCTTCAGTGTAAAGAAAGACATTACTCACCAAATGGTGCTCAGCAAAATGATATTGTGGAAGAAAAACATGCTGTTATCACAAATAACAGCACA